AGGCAAAGGCGGGCAATTTAACAAGCTGCAAAGATATGAAGAGACCTTCCGCATTCAACTTCCAAGTAAGTAGGAGGAATGAAAAACCCACTGCAATAATTTTGTCAAAGAATCGTAAAAATTAAATCAAAAGCTGGCATAAATATAAAACTATAAATATGCCACAGATTTTGGGGTAGAAATTATCCATGACTTGCGTTTTACATGACCGAAAAAGTGGAATGCAGTCATTAACTATTTACGAAAAGCAATGTTTGTTGGATAGTTTCCAAGCCCACCACATTGACATGATCACTAGTGTTTGCCATTAATAAAGGCAAAACTCACTCAGATATGCTTGTAAATTCTGAACATAGGAAACAACACATCGGCACGGCAGTGATGTCGTTAAAATATTGTGAATTTCAGTCTGATATCCTACATCAAAGTGTAATGGAGCTGATACACTCAGAGGACCGGGACGAATTCCATCGTCAACTTTCCTGGCAGGCGATGCTCCCTCCAGAACATCGCAATCTAACCCTTCAAGAAGTGCTTTCACCAGGTACCTTCCACCAACCACCTGCACGCCGCACTTAAGTGGACTGCAACCTAACTGCCTTACGCTCTCCAACTGCCATGGCCTTGTTTTGAGGCCTTAAAGTAGCGTTATTATTTCTAGATGCATTATTAAACACAACGTATAGACTCAGCGCTGAGCTGCCATTTGCTATCTTCAATTAAATCGCCCTACTGATTCACCACCTGATAGCATTTTAGCCCCAGTTGCTTTTAGGCGTGGACTAAGGCGGTAGGGGAGGGGGTTGCAGGCGAGAGTCCTCTCGTATCTTAGGCGTTCTTGGCCTTAATGGACTCGCTACAGGAGAGTGCGATTTCGTTCCCTTGCAGGGACAAAAATAGCCAATCGTCCACTTTAGGCTTGGGTAAGTGGCTGTAGAGTGACCTCAACACCAACAAACAATTGCTTTAAGTTAACATACGGTAAAATAAGTTAACGCAGTTGTCGTCGTAAAAAGAGAATCCTTGCAGAATTCCTTATCAATGGGATAGTTGCATGCAAACCCAAGCACAGCACAATAAGTTTTGATGCCTCAGATTGGTACCGTCATTTCAGCGTTTGGTAGTGTCTTCAATGCGCAAGCAAAAGCCAAATTGCAAGCATTTAATGGCTGCAGAGTAATATAAACGCAAATCCATTCTGTGATAGTGTGGAAAGTGTACGGTATGACGTACTTTACCGAGCAAATGGTTTGATATGATAAACTTATCTAAGATAATACCGGATCAAGGAAAAGAGGGACATTAATCAAACTGAGGCATGGATACAGTCGCTGATTTCGGTCGACAGTTTCGATTCCTTTCCTCATTTAAAATTAAGCTAACTATTTGTGAAGATCGAAAGCGCTTTAGACATTTTTAATTAAGCCCGTTTGTGACTTTCCATACAGTTTATTTTTTTGTAATGAAGCTATGTCTTCTCAAAACAATGTTATATGCTTTTAAAACTGTAGCTTACAGTCACCTCCTTCAACGATGTTTCACTGTACGCTTCCGTTGTTTGCTCGACAACACTTCCGGCTTTATCGTAAGTCTCCAATTTGTTCCTGCTGATCACGAACACTTTCACATTCTTGCATAACAATTGAGGTTGCATTTTTATTCTACGTTGTGGCAATCAAACGTCACTGCTTTCAACTAATTTCGGCAATTTATAATCGAAATTCACTCGTATCTGCTTTGTTTGCTCCTTTTAAGACGCTAGAAATAAGCGGTCGCCTTCAGTTCCTTCATGGTCACACAAGAAACTTTCAGCTCAGTTCATCTCCCTCGCGTGGAGGCGGAGAAGGAAACGTGCAGGAGGGAGCCGGCAGGCAGGGGAGACAGGGCGTGACAGTTGAAAGTCACGGGATGGCACCCACTGGATGTCCCGTCACCGCTTCCGTCGGCTCCATCTGTCCTCCTTCCTTTGGTCTATTCGGAGTTTGCAGTCCCCTTGGCTCTTTACCCAGTCTGGATGGGTCTCAGCGCGAGACCTCCTTCAAAACAAAGCACAAGATGGACCTAACCATCACTAGCATGGACGCTCGGTGAGTTCACATTCCAACATTTTACATTTCGCTGGAGACATTTGTTGCGCTTACTTCAAATATATTCCAAATTTGTGTTTAAATGTGTTAATAACAGGCATTTCCTCGGCTCATGATATTGGAAACAGAAGCAGGATAACATCCTTTAGAACTGTAATAGCACCGCTTTGCATAACAGTACTTGACAAGAAACAAAACCTAATTTTTTGAGGCGTCCAAAATCTAACTTTGCTAACCAATCATCAAGCAGTTCAGGAGTGTAAATATTTTTTTGTCGCCGAAGACAGAAATGAGAGACATCTAAGGTTCCTTACACGAATTCCAGTGCCCGCTCAATGTTCGGTTTCAATGGCAAGGAGGATGGCCGTATCAAAGTCTACGACCTCATCCATCCAGACGATCTCAGCTATGTTGCTCAGGGACACCGAGAAGGTAAGCAGCCGTCAGCACTTTGCATGAGAGAGGGTTGAATAGGCTGATGCAGATTATAATTTCCATGAATAGTGGAGGGACCGTTGATCTGAAATAGCTAATCATCAATCAATTAACCACTAGA